AGGAATGATACCACAATCTCTGAAGCTAATAAGACCAACAAATTTCTTGTCCTGTTATTTTGAGTGGAGTACGACCACTTACCAAGCTCCCCAAGGTAGGAATATTTGGAAGCCAGTGTACAATCCCAGACAATTGCTTACAATCGTAGTTCTCAAAGATCCTCTGTGCACTTATGCTCCTCAGCAGTTGTTCAGTCTTCTTGATTACCCTGTCTACAGCTTAGGACTAAATGAGGGGGCAGGAATAACTAGTATGACGAAGAGGGCTGCAGGTCACTTTGAAGTCTCCTTAGGATTGGGAGGGCATATGGGGTAAGAGCCCTCTTACAATTGCTGATAACTCCAAGATGTTTCATGAATGCATTTTATGAGTTTAATATGCTGAGGGCTCTGTGACTGACCTGCAGTAATGACCAAACAGTAATGCATAGTATAATCCCTGATGTTGTGAGGGGAAAACCACTTGTTTTCTTCCTTGAGATATCTGTGAGGTCTGTCCAATTAGCTGAAGCAAGCTTTCCATGCAGTTTCAGTTACTGAAAAAGCATATGCTTGTTTGCCCACGTTTTGCGAAATAACACAGGCACTAACTGTAAGTGATGTAAAATGTGCACTACAATCAAAGCTGAAAAAAAATCTTGTTGTAGGATTCTGGTGGTCTTACAATAGAGCTTCTTTGTGTAGAGTGGGGAAAAAACTGTGGGGAAACTATGGGGACAACTATGGGGACTGTTTCAGATGGGGAAAAACTATGGCTATGGGCTTTTTAGTAATATCTGGCTATATCTGGAAGTGTGTACATATATCTTTGTGGAATAAGCAGAAGTCAAATCACAGTACACAGTAGCTGCAGCCCGTATTGGTGAAGTCAATGAAAACAAGTACAGCTGTGGGGGAAAAGTGAATGGGTTAGTTTGCTCAACGGGAGCGGGCACATTTCCACTTAAAAACTACCATTCGTAGAGGGAGGAGTCACAATATAATTTAATTTGAATAATTGGTGATTGGCTCGGTTTGGGTTTTTTGTTTTGTTTTGTTTTTTCTGGATAAAACAGTCTGTCCTCTAACCTTGAAAGACCTGCAATTGGAATTACTCTCTGCATGCTCCTCTAAGATAACTGAGCAGTATTTTTCAAATCTTTTGACATATCAGCTAAAAAGAGGTGACAGAACGGAGAGAGCAAGAGACTGCCGTTTTGAGTCTCACTGTGTCCTAATAACTTGAAAACCTTATTGCTTGTATACTGCCTTGGTTTTGCTATTGGATTAATTTATACTTTGTTTTGTTTTAATAGGTGATGCGGATGACGCTGTCAACGCTGAATTGGCGGCGGCGGGAAATGGTGAGGTGGTTGGTAACATGTGCAACAGAAGTAGGTATGTTCTGAGATACTCCTCAAGGACTCCTGTCTTTTCATCAGCTAATCTTAGAGCATTTGATCTTGTCTGTCACTGTCCAGGCTCTGCAAGTGTCACCTGCTTTCTGTTGGCCTGTAAAATTACTTTGGTTAGGAGGCATTAATTATGGCAATGACAAGAGGTTTTCTTGAGCATATGATAAAATAGGCACAGGCCAAGTGAGACTTAGTTGAGTAACACAGTGTTATTTTTATATTTATTATTCCCCCACAAGGTAGGGGTGAGCATGACCTCAGTGGGATGGTGGAAGTGCTGTTGTGCTTTCACATGACTCTGACAGTGTGACATGGGGGTATCCCAAACTTCCCACCTCCACTCCCTGTTGGGTCTGGGTTTGAGGTTGCAGCAGAAAAAAGGCATGTGTTTAATGACTCTTCAGTTGTGCTATAGCTTTGCTTGCTCTAAAGACCCAGGTTCGGGGTGCAGGTGCAATAGCAATCTGGTGAACTCTGTGCTGCCTGAGGTAGGAAGAACCAGAACGCAGTTGAGTGAAGTGCTGAGAATGCCCAAGTTGGCATCACTGGTGTAGGAGACAGGATCTCATGGTGAGGCTCCCATTTTTTTTAAGCCACTGGGTAAATCCAAGCTTAAAATGTAATTCATCTTTGCTCTGTGGCTATGACATTGTGCAGGCCCCTCCTCTGCCACTGAAATGCAAAGCAAATACTGATATACATATAGTTAACCCCTTCAGGGAAGAAGAAAAAGGTGAGAGCTGAATCCAGCCTCCTACTTAGAGGACAGCAGTGGGAGGATAGCGCATTTAGCAGGGCATCCTCTGGCAAAGCATAGAAATGAACAGATTTGCTGCGTGTCTTGGTGAGGGGTCCTTTAGCTTCTCTACTCCAGTTTCCAACTTGCAAGATGAGGATGGAGTATCTGAAAGTGAAGGGCATTAAAAATTGCGTAACTAAAAATTCAGCAGCTGTGGTAGTGGGAACAATATAAGTACTATGATGAGGGAGCATCTTTAATTGTCACTAGAGGTATTTCCGGAAAGCATGCCTCTCTTTGTATTTTTTCCTTTCTCTTTCATACATTTGAGTTGGATTGTGTCTCAGTGATGCTGCTTGAGTTTCAGAAATTTAGAAAATTGCTGCCTATTCCCTGGGTTAGTTTATCCGTTGCTTTGCGCTTAACTGGGAAATTAATGTTGTCAGTAGCTTGGGAAAATACAGCTTGCCTTTGTATGCCCTCAGCCAGAAAGTGGTTTGTCTGCAAATTTTCATGCAATGCTCTTGTTTTATTGCTTTTATATCTTTTCTAAGATAATTATTACTGAGGCTATCTTACAGATATTAGTGTCTGGGAATTATTTTGTGCACTTTCATATTGGCAAATAAAATGCAGGTTTTAATACTGCTTTAAATTAGTTTACATATTCTAATAGAAGTATCCCATAAAGAACCTATAATGTCATGCAAAATACTCTTGAGACTTAATCAAGTCGGTAAAGCAAGGAATCTGTTTATTTAACTGAAGATCTGATATTCTGTGGCTATGCTAAATTTTTGTACATGAATGAAGGGGTGCACAGGAACCATCAGAGAAATGAGGACCTCTGGGTGTGGTTTAGGTGGCCTCACAGATGTGTATAAACTGCCTCTAGCAATAATAAGGCACTCTAGTTGCCTATAAGCTTCAATTTATGGAACCCATCAGTCACTTTTTCCTCAGCAATAAAGTGATGCCAAGGAAAACTCCGCATTTCACATAAAAGCCAGTAGTGTATATTGCCTAGCATATTTCCATAATAAGGAGCTTCAGATGCATATCAATTTGATACAAGACCTGAAAAGCCTGTTTGGGCAGTGTGTACGTGGCGGGAAGGGGGCACATATTAAGATTTTTTTTGTCCTTTTTTTTTCTTTTTAAGGTGTGCTTAGTATTAAATGGCACAGTGTTTTATTAAGTGAGTCATTTAGAGTGCTTTAATGCTCTTTTGTGCATGCACTGTGCTTTGAGATGCACATTGAGAAAAGAAGCTAAAATTGCCATTTTAAAATGTTAAATGTGAGGGCTGCTTTTGAGTGATATAATGAGATGCTGAGTTTTTGAGCTCCAACCCCAACCAAATGGGTCAGAATCTGTTATCCAAATTGTCTTAAATAACAAGTAAAACAGCTCAGTTAGCAAACCAGGAGATGAAAGCTGATCTTGCTAGACTTTTTTTTGTTGTTACTGTAGAGATTGCACATTAGCCTTAATTTTAATACCCTTCTCTAGACACGTTATCTGGTTTAACCTTTCTTGATGAGGTAGCATCCCTCGGATGTACTGGTAGCCTCTTAGACTTTGCTGAAAATCTGATCTCTTGCTGAACGTTTGCATCTGGTAGGTTTTATCAGTTGTGGCTAATCCTTTCTCTCTCTCTCCCAGGTGTTTATGCACTGGATAGCATCATGCAAAGCTGGTTTACACTTTTCACTCCAACAGAAGCCACTAGTATTGTTGCTACAACAGTGATGTCCAACAGCACCATTGTCCGTCTGCATTTGGACTGCCATCAGCAGGAGAAGCTGGCCGGCAGTGCTAGGACGCTTGCTCTACAGTGTGCCATGAAGGATCCTCAAAACTGTGCCCTCTCTGCACTGACCTTATGTGAAAAGGATCACATAGCTTTTGAGACCGCTTACCAAATCGTTCTAGATGCTGCTACAACCGGCATGAGCTACTCGCAGCTTTTTACTATAGCACGATACATGGAGCACCGTGGTTACCCCATGCGGGCCTACAAGCTGGCCACTTTGGCCATGACGCATCTCAACCTGAGTTACAATCAGGACACACACCCTGCCATTAATGACGTTCTGTGGGCATGTGCGCTCAGCCACTCCCTTGGGAAAAATGAGCTAGCAGCTATAATACCTCTGGTGGTCAAAAGTGTCAAATGTGCAACAGTACTGTCAGACATTTTGCGTAGGTGTACTTTGACCACTCCTGGCATGGTGGGACTTCATGGAAGGAGGAACTCTGGTAAGCTCATGTCACTGGACAAAGCCCCTTTGAGGCAACTCTTGGATGCCACGATCGGAGCCTACATTAATACAACTCATTCACGTCTCACTCACATCAGCCCTCGACACTATAGTGAGTTTATAGAGTTCCTCAGCAAGGCCCGAGAGACCTTCTTAATGGCTCACGATGGACACATCCAGTTTACACAGTTTATTGACAACCTAAAACAAATCTACAAAGGCAAAAAGAAACTGATGATGTTGGTTCGCGAGCGGTTTGGTTGACGAAAATGTGTGAATGGGGGGTGGGGGGAGGGAAGGGGTGGTTTGTTTTTACTTGAGCCTGCCTTTGTATCCTTTTTAACTTAAAGAAACAGAGCCACACCGGTATTATATGTGTATAGTTATATTGAGTTTGCAAACTAAACTGTCATGTTGTGAAAGTTTGTGTGTTTAATTTTTTTTTTCCTTTTTTCTGTTTTGTATGAGAGAGAGGTTAAAAAAGGTTTGGTTTACACTGAGTATATGTTGTCAAGTGGCAAAAGCCCACATTGCTCTCCTGTTCTTTCTGTATACGTTCACAGCCTCAAAAAACAAACATATATTGCAATGGCTTTAAAAACCAAACAAAACACCTCCATCCTGTGATAAGTACCTCGAATGGATTCAGCTTTACTCCTTTGTAACTCATCCTTACATTTCAGCGTATTTAAACAAACCAACAAATGAAATACTAATAGTTAAAAGGCTGACCACGTGGCTTTGCAGTGCTGTTCATCCAGAAGCATGGCACACAATGCTTGTGCATGTGGAAACTTAGCGACTGTCAACATACATTCTCAGGGATTTATCAAAAAAAATTAAAAAAAGAATGAGAGCATTTATTGTACTGTATATATATTATAGTATATGTCTGAATATTGAAAAATATAACATTAACTAATTTATAAAAAAAAAATCTATGTAATGCAAAATACTTGAAGCTGCAGTAGCTTGGTTTTAAACAAAAAAGAAAACCTATCAGAAGGACTAAAGTGCGCCTTGCTTCAGGGTTGGCTCAGGTGGTGAACTATATGCTGGGCATCTATGCAGAGCCACCTTTTGGATTGCATGGTTGGACTGATACCTATTGGGGGAAATTTTATATATATATATTTATACAACCTGTGTATACATATATATGTATACACACATACACACATGCTTGTAACAGGCACTATAGTAAAGAGGGACAACAAAAAATACACAGCCAGAGCAGCAAGCCTTAGCATTAAGAATACAGTATGCCAGAATTGGGGTTTGTGCCTCCTAGCCTAGAAAACTTAAAGAAATATCCTTTTTGACACAAAACGCAAATTCTTTTCCAAAATGAATGAAATGATACATTACGCCTTTGCAGTGAGCTAATAATAAGCTAACCTTTGTGCACAAATAACATATATATATATTATATATATATATTCTGCATAGGTATTTTGACTTTGTGCAGGACAGAAAGTTGTGTAGGTATGACTGTTCTACTTTTCAGTTTGTTTTTTTAATATATTTTATTTTCTCTAGAATTACTCAAACAAAAGCAGCCTTCTATCTTGCCTTGTCTTAATGCTTTAAAATAACCAAACTGGAGATCTAACTACCAAACTGTTCATTATATTATTAAATACCAACTTTGGTTACAGTATAGTGTCTTTACTTTAGCTGATGGTTCTGTATCCTTGTGCTTTTTAAAGCAGTTTTTATGTTTTGGTGCAAAAGTTGTCCAGTGTCTCTTGTTCCCTTCATTAGAGAACATGCTAGAGGTATGTTTGTAGGTATTTTTGTTTAGAAAAACTATTTCATGCTCTCCATTTTATTTATTATAATAGATAAAAAGGTTGTACTTCATCACCCATGTAAACATGCTCATGAAGTTGAAAGTAATTAAGATTTGATACACTGATATCAATTTATTTATGTAACTAAATCACTGTTTTATAAACTTGTTAATGATCAACAATTTTTTTGTTTTGATTAAAATTAGTTTTTTGAAAGTTGATTCTGCCTCCTTTATGGTGTCTGTTACTGGAATGGAATTGTGTATGGATATTTCACAGATCTGAAATACTCAGCTTTCCGCTGTGTGTGTTATGATGGTGAGTAATATGACCACCAAGATCAGGAAAGAAATGTGTTTTTTTTTTTTCTCAGAAATCTACTGAGGACTGGCAGTGTTCAAAATTGTGCCAGCTCCTGTGCAAAAGATGGAAGGAGACCCAGCACTTCAGAGGAAGGACCAAACGCTGCTTGCGACTGAAGATGCCTGGTCTGTAAAATGAACAGTAAGCCCTGACATACTGCCTTGGTGGATGGTAGAGTGTATGGAGGCATTGCTCTCACTGAATGGATTAGTTAGGTTGATGCAGGACTTGAGATGTACTGCAGATATGTATAAGGACAGTTATTGCTGCTCTTTGGCTTTTCTGAAGTATTTTGTGTATTCTGAACTGTGCAGCCCAGTCCACCTGGCATGGAGTTTTTGCTGACCTACTGACATCCAGCATTTCTGCTTTTTTGGAGCCCTTGTTCTGTAGGATTTGTGTCAATTTTTCCAGGCCTCAGTGAATGCTGGGATACGGCATTGCTGAAAATTGAAGAGGAACTCTCTGTTTCTCTAGGAACTTTGTTGTCTAAGGAATGTTATATGATGCCATGTTTGACCATGAGATCTCAACACCTTCACTTTCGTTTTCAGTATCTTCAGCTGAAAGGAGAATTAGCATGCAACAAGCAACTATCAGAGGTGCCAACGTAGTCATGATTTCTGACAGAGAGGCTTGTGTTACTAGAAGACGAAGGAGGAAAAGGTCTGCATCTTTGTACAACTTCTGATGTAAACCAGATGTTGTAAACCAGATCTTTGTACACAACTTCTAATGTAAACCTTGATGTTACCAAACCCTGCTAAATGGCTGAATTGTCATGACTCGGTAGTGCTAACGTTCTGCAGCCTCTGCGACTTCTCTCCCTTTCAAGTATTCAGTCCTCGCTGTTCTTCCCTGGTTACTTTGTCCTGGATAAGTGTCCTATTACAGACCATAAGGAACAAATGGGAGACCCTATTCTGTATTAGGGATTGCCTGGTTTTTTTCCCCATCTTACATGTAATGCACCATTGATGACAGTGTAAATTGCACGGAAGCCTATTTAAAAACAAGACTTTAAATCAAATGCAGTCCTGCTGGTTGCCACCTGCTTTTATTGAGCATGATGGCCTGCTCTTTCTCCAAAACTGATGGAAGTTTGACTTGTTTCTGTGACTGATTTAGGTCTTTTATGTGTCCTCAATGGTGCTGCACAGTGCAGTTCACGCCATTTTAAAAGTCCTCATGGACCAACAAACGTTTGGTCAATCTCTTTAGCAAGCATATCCAGATGTGTACTGCCCTTGTTTTGTGGAGGTGGGAAGAGTCCAGGAAACAGATTCCAGGAAAAAAACCTGAGGGCCTTTTTGTTTAAAACTCTCAGGTGGCAGTGATTGAATATTTCTAATGTAATTCCTAGAACTAAACTTTGGAATGAATTTTGGAGCCTAGTTAAGCATATGGAAACTTTCTGTTAAAAATATGCTTCAAATTCCCTTAGCATCTCTTCAGTGCAATGTATTTGAGATATCTGACTGACTACCACTAATATCACTATCTCAGAATGTTACAGGGCTTTTCAACACCCCATTAAATGAAAGCTTTTTTTTTTTTTCCTGGTTAATCCAGGGTCTCAGGCTATTTAGTAGAGAAGGGAACTGAGTACGGCTCTCCCATATCATAGACCACCATTGAATCTTCATTTTTTTGGTGAGTTGAGTGAAATCCTAAAGGACGTGGTATTCCTTCAGGGTTAAGAGACTGTCTTGCCACCCAAGAAACTGACATTTGCCCATAGATTTGTTTTCAGATTTCCTCTATAGTCCATTGATTCTGCCAGCAACAAAAGCCAGCAAATTTTTCCTACCCAAATTACATTATTTTCATTTAGCCTTTTAGTGGTTCAACACTTAATTTCCACATCCACTTTTTTCTTTAGAAAGAGGCTCATATTTCCAGGGTTGGGAGATTAATATTGCAAATTAATGGAAAAAAGGGATAGCAGATTTTTAAGCTTTTGCACAACTTTTTATCATGAAAAAAGAAAGAAGGGCACATATGGGAGCCTCAGACTTTGGATACTAAGCTGCAATTGAAATCCAAGACAGTTTTCCTCTGGGTACTTGATGTCTTATTCTCAGAATCTTTTGCTTATAAAACACTATGGCAATGGACATAAACATAGATTGCGTGTACGTGACAGAGAATTTACTAGATTGTTTGAGAGAAATTGCAGGTAATATTCTGAGGCCAGAACAGCAAGTAGAAGGTTGGGACTGCAGACCGCCACGGGTCTCCAGTAGAACAGATGGAACTCGTTCAGGACGGTGAAGCTGCCGATATGTGCAATTAGTGCTTTGGATGACTGATCAACAGCTTTTACGGTACAGATGAAATTCTGAAGGACTTTTTTTTGAATATCAAAAAGGAAAAATGGCTTCCTGGTATTTTTAGATATAGGAGATACTCTGAGTGCTTTGCATAAGTAAATTTTCTGTTCTGTAGACCCATATTCCGTCATTTTCTTTGTATCTATAGGCTATCTTGCTTCCACTACTAATGCAAGTCTGATGTTGCAAGCTTTCAAAAGTCTCTTTGAAAGTCACTTTTCAGTAATGTTTTAGTGTTCTGTCAAATCAGTCTGAGCTACAATTTTCTTTAAAGTTTGTCTAGCAGCAATTAAGTTTTCATATAAGTGGGTATAAGTAACATAAGTGCATCAAAACTGGGGGTGTAGTTTACATGCAGGGAAACTTCGCTATATGAGTTGTGTCAATTTAGGTTTGTAGTTCCACAGAGTGGATTTGCACGAGAAGTAAATTTATTTCACTAAGACACCTTCAATTGGATTAAAATATCATGGATTTTCACTGAACAATCAGCCAGCCTTCCAATTCTGATTTAAAAAGGAAAGCCTTGATAATTCACCTGCTTTTAATGCAGGATATAACTTGAAAAATAGCTGTATAGCTGGTACCTTTACAGGATTGGGAAATATAGTACCCTCAAGGATTCTTTTCTTCTGCACTTCTGGCTGGGGATGAAATGTATTGTGCTCACAGGCAAACATTAGCCTGCCCTTTTAACTGCCCATCCCCTTCAAAGTATGCCTTTTGCATGGAGCACAAACCACAGCCTTATGTCTAACCTTTGCCTCGTGACAAAGCAACAGGTAGTGGAGATTTAGGGGGTATTTCGGCATGTTAGGAACTACACTGAATATTAGCAGAAGAGCTTTGTAAGATTCTTAACTGGAATAACGACCGGGTTTTCTGGGTCACTTTACTGAGAAAAGAGGCTGCTAGGATTTGCCTCATCTTGTTGAAGTGTACGCTCCATACCATGCACAGGAAGACAGGAGTGTTGCCTCCACTAACACCCTGGGCTGTCAACATCAAGTAGCACTCAGCCCTCAGTTGAAATATTTTTGTGATCAATCCATCAATCCGTACAGGTAACCCTAAAGGGAGTAGAAGCAGAGCATTATAGGCTCTGAGGAAAAGAACCTGTCTTGAAAAGAAAATTATGTCATATGCTGTATTTGCAGACATCTGCAAGGTCTTAGGATCAAAGACATCTCTTAACATGTATTGGCTACAAAGTTATTTCTAACATCAACCTTGCCAGATTTCAATAGCTCCTCCTTCTAGAGCATGATTATGACTAGGAGGTACCACAGTCATGAAATGTCTCTTTTCTAATAGTACCCTTCCTTATCTACACAGTGTAAAGAACTGTCTCATATTCTTTTCTCCCTTAATTATCTAATCCAAACATTTAATGTTTTTGTGCTAGTAGTCGTCTTTCTTTTGTTGTTTGCTGTTAAACCTGGTATTTTGAAGCCCGACAAGCAAAAGTTGCCCACAAGTAGTGGAATCCGTGTTCCACGTTATAGGTGGGCTCCAGTGTATCCTTGAAATCAAAAAGCAGAGGAAGAAGTGCCTTTATTTAGCTGCCTAGGTCATAACCTCTGAGTTTTGAGCTGTTCCGTCCACCCAGGAGCCATCTAGTGAGTAGTCTCCTACAGAGTTTTGTACCAACTGCGTTTGTTTTTTATAACTTTCCTTTTGTTCCTCCTCGCCTTTGTTCCGCCTTTGTCTCCTCGTGTAATTTTAAGAGCTTTCTCTCTGGAAAGCTCTGATAGATTAAGTTCATGGTATTTCCTGCTTGGGATCTGATGAGGCGAAAAGAGAGATGGAGCTATTGCTCGGTAAGGGCGGTCCATGGCCAGGCTCTGCTTGGTCTCTGTTGAAAATACCCGTGGAGTAGTGCATGAGAAAGGTGAACTGTTCAGTCACTCTTATTTTAGGGACCCAACGCACTGAAACCTAAGGCAGCAGACACAAATAATATATAGAATGGGCACTGTCTGCCTTTCTAGCCCACCACTCCGACATCGGAATTGCTTGTCCGACCATAAAGAAATCTTGATTTGGTGTCCCAAGAATCAAAGGCAAGTCACTGTTCAGAGAAAGATTCTGAAAAGTTAAAGAATGTATGAGGGTGATTAAGGATAGAGCTAAATGTCCCTCTGGTGAAGATGCTGGAATTACATCAAGGCTCAACTTGGCACACACTTTTGAGAGGTCTTTTAGGTATAAGAGCAACAGTGGTGAGAGTAGTAGTGCCAAATTCTGCCCAGTCAGTGGGCAGGAAAAATCATTTGGGGTTTGTGGCCTCCAATTCCGGATGACCTGAATCTAGTTAAACAGCAGAATGACTATCTGTAATGCTTTTGTTATTGCCTGGCTGTTCCTGTGTGCAGGGAAACAAGTTAGACTGCAACTCATTTCTTGGATGCACTACATATGGAACAACCAAAGCCCTCTCTCCTTTCTGAAAATGAGGGATCTGGGAGAAACGATGCCCTTGCATAGGCCAGCTTGCCTACGTGTTAAGGGACCTTTAACAGCAC